TTTTGTGGTGTTAATAGAGAAATAATACAAATATGTGCATTAGCATGATACAACTTAAAATGCAAACATAACCGCGAATTAATTTTCATTAATGCATGATTACACATTGTATGTGGAAATGTAACTCTAAAGAATGGCAATGAAAAATATGTGATCTACTTTTTTTTCCTTTTTCTTCTTCCTCATAACCTTTTGGTATTTTACCATTAATCGTCTTTTCTTTCATCATTAACCAAAATAGCATACATTCATTTTTTTAAAAAATTTTATAATAACAGCACGATTTATTGTGGAATTTAAATTATTAAACGAAAATTAAATTTTTAAATAAATTAATTTTCTTTGTTTGCTTTTTAAAGTTCCCCTTGATCTCTTTCATTTCCTTTTTTCTTTTTCTCTCTAGAAAATAACAGATAAAGCAAATCAGACTATATAGATTTGTATATAGAATATTAGTCAGTACCTTTTTGATATTTGGGTAGCGTATGTGTGGGTGGGGTCCCGAAAAATTTACTTTTCAATTATACAACATTCCGTTCTTTCAAAAATTTCTCTTAATACGCGTCCTCTTTTCTCGATTATTTCCTGGATAATCATTTAATATTTATCCGTTTAGACGATTATCGTTTACATGGCTAATATAAATACTTTTGAAAACGTTACTGTACGATTTGGTATGTTGACTAACAAACTTAATAATAATATTGAATAGATTATGTAATAATTCTGTTCTTTTTTAGCATTACGTATTAGACCATTAACGGCTGAAGAACTGGTTACTTTGCCTGCACCACTTCAAAAGAATGTTCTTTCCACAACACCATTTACTCCAAATCAAGTTACCGTTCAAGGAGAAAGGAAACAATCATATATGTTTGATCACGTTTTCGGACCCGAGATATCACAGAAAGAGATTTATGATCGTGTTGTAATGAATCTGGTGGACAAGTTCTTAGATGGTACGTACAGTACGTGAAAAATATCTCGATAGTCGCGACGGTAAAATTTCACGTGACTATGATTTTGCGCTAAAGAATTTATATTGGTCACCTGACTTTTACTCAGCCAACTCCATAAATGTATCTCATTGAGAAAAAAATTATTTAAAAAAAAATTGGCATCTATAGGTGTGCATTTATGGAGAGCATTTATTGAGAATTCTATGGACTTGAAATTGAAACCTAGTGTGCATTTAGAAAGGGGATATATTATATAGTACATGCGTTTATAGAGGATGAATTTATGGAAGGCTGATTATAATAATCAAAATGCTTTAGCGCATCTTTGATTAATAAAGATTATTGAAAAAAATTTTTTTTCATGTAACTAACATTCATTTAATTTGCATCAGGTTTCAATTCGACTATCATAGCGTATGGTCATGCGTCATCGGGCAAAACGCATACACTCGGATTGCCGAATGATGTTCCCCAATCGAATGAATCGAAGGGTATAATTTCGCGATCAATGTCCACGTTGTTCTCCTGCATAAATTCAGCCCAGTACAAAGCGCGAAAATTCGCTATGAGAATTTCTTTTGTAGAAATACATGATAATTTTTTAATCGATCTTCTTGGTGATAAAGATTCGCAAGCTCTTGTTCGTGAAGATTCAAATAATCGAATATATTGGAAAAATATGAAAGAAATTAAAGTTAATAGCGTGGATGAGATAATGAGGTAACTGATTCTTTTATTTGTTTTAACAGGATGTTTTATAGTATAAGTGGGATAATCAGTAATTTTCTACGTGATCACATGATGATTGGAATACTGTAGAACATCCAATTCATATAAAATAATATAAAATAATATAAAATAATATAAAATAATATAAAATAATATAAAATAATATAAAATACAGAAATAAAGTATTTTGATATATATTAACGAATATAAAAATCTTTGCAGACTTTTATCACGCGGTGCATTAAATCGAAAAAATTCAAATTTGGATACGAATGCAAGCTCTTTGCGAGGACATCGTGTTTTCACGGTAACTCTTTCACAGCAAAAGTTTGTCCCATCAAATGGTATGCCGGCTAATTCTAGCAATATACCACCAACCAATCCAAAATTTAATTTTGGAAAATCCAAGTCAAAAGAAGATGTAAAGACGAATAAACATGATGGTGAATGGATCGCTGTGACAAGTAAATTTCATTTTGTGGATTTGGCTTGGAACGACATGGTACAATTTATAACTATGCAATTAATATTTTTTTATTGTTTTAATCTTTATTTTACGAATTTTTAACTATTTTATTTATTATAGAAAAATGTTGATACCTCGGTGAATCCACAAGAAAAAGAAAGTCATTCTCTTAATTCAGCTATTCTTCCCTTAGGAAATGTGATTAGCAATCAAGGAATGGCGTCTGATAAAGAATATAAACATATGCGAACACTTAAAGATTATATTGGTAACAATGCTCAAACGTTAGTTATATCATGTGTTTCTCCTGCGATAAACCAAATCAAAGAAACTATAAACACCTTGGAATACGTAACTCAAGCACGAAGCCTCAAAAATACTTCTACAGTTCATCATGAGGTGGGATGGCATAATTTGGAACATTTGCAGGACCTTGTATTGAAACTCAGAACTGAAGTAAGAGCACTAAGAGCATCTGTAAAAACTAATTCTGAAAATTCAATTTCGGATTTGACTTCATCATCTCATGATATACAATTGATAGAGAAACAGGATTCTCAAATGACAAGAGATATTAATGGAATTATTATTAATCAAAATGATCAAAATGATCAAAAAGATAAAGATATTGATGAACTTGAAGAAAAATTATCTCATCTTCAACGTTCTTATGCTGAAATTTCCCAAGATTTACCAATTAATAATATTATTAATTTAGATGGTGGTATTCTTTCTAAAGAAAATTTATCAACTATTAATTTATTGGTAAAACACTTGGAATCATTCAAAGATGATGATGAATCAAGTTTTATTCAACGTATATTACCTAGTTTTCAGAAGGCACTTGGTCCTGTGATTCAAGAATATGAAAAATCTATTACTTCACTTGAAAATCAACTTTCAATTGTCCGTACGGCTTTAAATCACTCAGAAAGTATGATGAATTTACAAGAAGATAAACTACAGGAAGCGGAAGAGCTTAATAATCGAAATAGGAGTTTGATTAATGATCTCAAAATCAAGATTTCTAAATTAACTGAACGAGAAGAAACAACTGAGATTTATATAAAAGACCTTGAAGCTAAACTTGATTCTGAAGCAATGGTTAAAAAGAAAGATCAGGAAATTATTAATGAGCTTAAAAATCAAATTAGTAAAATGAATGCTGATGACGGAAATGTTGAAAATCGTATTAGCTCTATTGAATCACATTTAGAATATAATGAGGATCAAGTTGCTGCCGCAAGCCAAACTGCCAAAGATCTTGAAAAAGCATTGTGCGAGAGAGATGAAGCCTATGTCAATTTAAAAAAAAGATTAGAAAAACAACATATTATCAATGATGAAGAAAAGAAATGGTTAATTGGAGAAATTGAGATGAGAGATCATAGAATCTCACAATTGGAAAAGAAAGTTGATGATTTGGTTAACGAAATCGCACGTTTAAAACAATCACACGTTGATTACAATTCTCACTCGGGTCATCACTCTAGGTCATCATCTTTAACATCTGTTGATAATGTATCTCTAACTGATCAACCTAAATTAGAAACAATAATGCAAATTAAAGATATTCCATCAGTTTCGCAACTTGAATCAAAATTGTGTGATCTTCAAAAGATACATCATGAGACAATGTGCGAATTAGAAGATATTAAGAACAAATATCAGACATGTCTTAAAGAACTTAGTAATCTTCATACACAAGTTGATGAAGCAAAAAAGTGTAAAAAATCACCATCAGTAACTTCATCCAATAATTCGGACGCTGCACCAACGGTAATCTCGGAAAATTTAAGTGAAACTCTTGATTATACTCCACGTCATCACGTAAACTATCACAAAGCAAGATCAAAATCGGCAGAAATTCAGGGATCAAAGAAACATGATCTCACAAATGCTGCAATAATTCAAAATCTTCAAATAGAATTAAGGCAATTGGAAGTTCTTCATGCTGACAAAGCACGTGGTTTGGATACTATGAAGCAAGAATTTGCTCGCCTTGAAATTAATTATCGTGAAACTCTTGAAATCGTTGAAGAGCTTCGGGAAGAAATAAAACATAGAGATGCTCTGAATCAACAAGAATCTACCTCTGTAGTCATATCGGAGTATACTCAAACAGATGGATATTATTCGATGGCGACCATAGGCCAGACCAATCAGCGTGAACTCATACAAAAACTTAAAGAAGAAATTGAACATCTCGAAGAAGAACAAAAGGTTGCACTGAAAACCCTTGCTGAACATAAAAAAAATTATAATATTGATGCAGTAACAAGAATACAAACAAGCATCGTAGAGCTTAAAGCTGATATTCATCGAATTCTCGAGTGTGATCAAGATTCGGACAAGTCACGTGTTGATACCGTAAATCGGTTACAATCAAGATTGAAAGAACTTGAAGAACAACTAATAAAGGAGCAAGAAATTATTGGACGATCTCAAGTTAATGAAGGTGTTGAAACTCCTTTTGATGCGTTACAACAAACGGAACAGGTCAATGTCATCTTAATGCTTCAACAACAAGTGAGCAAACTTCAGAATGAAATTGAAGTAAAAGGTCATGTGATAGCTGTCTTAAAGTCTCCATCAGTTGATCAACAATATATCATCGAAAGACTTGAGGATGAATTACATTACTTGAGAGAAGTTCAACGACTCGCTATTGAAGCAAAAAACAAGTTATCTGTGGTGCCTGAAAATGAAGTGACGAAAATAGGAGATGAGATTGTTAGTGACTGTTTGGAACAATCTTCAGATGTTTATATAAAAACATTGGAAGAAAAAGTCGGAAGTCTTGAAGCTCAATTGGAAATGACAAAAGAAACGCAAGTTAAATCATACATTGATTCTTCACAAAGGGCTGTTGATATCCTTCAGGAAAAACTAAAATCTCTTCAGCAACAACTTGATGCAAAATCCGAGACTATTGAAACTTTACGAATTGAGCAAGATATTGCAACCGTTCTCCAAGAACAACTTGATAATTTAAAAAATGATATTCAAAAGAAATCTGATGTGATTGAAACGTTGAAGAAAGATTTGATGGATAGTAGTTTGCTTGAGCAAAAGTTATTTCAAAAAGAAGCACAAACTTTAAACTTAAAAAAAAAACTTTCTCAGATGCAAGAACAAGAAGAAAGTTTACAGAAAGAAATGTCTGAATTAAAGAGAAGATTGAGTAACTTAACTAGTGGTGATGATGTAAATAAAGTTCTTCAAAATGAATTGGATAGTCTACGAAAAGAACTTCAAGACGTCCGTGAAAGAGAATTCATCGCACTTGAAAGGCTTCAGCTCCTAAAAAGTAGAATAGATTATGATTCTGAGGAGTCTCAATTGCAAGAACAATTAGACTATTTGCGAAGTATAGAGATGATGCAAAAGAACAGAATAACAGTATTGGAAAATAAAATTTTGGAGAAAGGTGAACATGTCGATGAATTTCTTTTTCAACTTCGAACTGATTTGGCTTTAGCCAAAGAATCTAAAGTTTTACACCTCAGGACAATAGAGGCTTTAGAAACAAAATTACAAAACCTTGAAGATAGAACTTTAGCCAGCACATTACAACTTGAAATGGCAGAGATGAGATTTAAAGAATCTCAACAATTAGAAAAAATACGCAACCTTGAACTGAATTTGAGTCGTCAAACTGCAAATGATATTCATCATATTAAATGCATGCTTGAGGAAATTAAAAATATTCATAGCCATGAATGGAAACAATCAAAGGACATTGAACTTACAGAAACATCTTTAGAATTAATAAAGGGTGAATCTGATGTTTCTCTTCTTAAGGACGAGATAACTAACCTAAAAAATTCAAAAGTTACTCTTAACAAAACCATTCAAGATCTAAAATTCAAACTTGTAGAATCACAAGAAAAACTTTCGAATCTTGAAATTTTAAAATCAGAAATAAGTAATCTGAAAAAATTAGAGAGTGAACAAAAAAATACAATTGAACAATTACAATTACAGCTTTCAGAAATCAAAAATTCCAGAGAACTTTCAAAGAACGAACTGGAACTTATGAAAAAAGGAATTAATCATCAGAATGAAGTTATCGAATCTCTCGAAAAAGAAGTGATAAATTTGAGGCAAGAATTATTCACCGCGAAAGAAATAAATGCCTCATCAACTCTAGAGTTAGAAAAAATGTCTGAAAAATTGAACACAGCTCAGAAACAATATGATAATGAACAAAAACGAGTTAAGGCTTTAGAAGTTGAAATAGAGACATATAAAATTGCCGGCACAAACACTGACAAAAATGTAATTGCTTTACGAGAAGCGTTAGCCAACACCAAACTTGAGATGGTTGCTCAAAATGAAATTTTGGCTGAACTTGAAACCGAAATGATGGCTATCGAGAAAAAACGTGATCATCATATTGAACTCGGAGAAAAATTAGCAACAAAGCTTCAAGAACAAGAATTTGTTCATAAGGAAGCTGTCACAGGTCTTGAGTCAAAACTCTCAAATTTAGAAACAAAACTTGCGAAAGCGCAAGATTCTTCTTTTCAAAGCAAAAAAATAATCACCAATCTCGAACAAACCCTTGTGAAAGTTCAATCACAATTAGAGGATGCTCGGTTATCAGAAGTTAAACATACACAATTCATTACAGAATTGCAAGATAAATTAATAGAAACAAATACAGTTTTGATGGAAAGAGAAAAGCAGTTGACCACTCAAGATTATCAAATTGCCGAGTTGGAAGCAGTTTTACATAAAACACAAATAGAACTTGAAAAGGCTAAAGTATCCGAACATGAAGCAGAGGAACGTGTAAAACAAGTAGAAGCAAAACTATCAGAGATCGCTTTCAGATTAGGTAGTAGTCATTCTATCGAAGAATTCGAAGCCGCCAAGAAGATGGCTGAAGAACAATCAATACTTGTTAAAGAGCTTGAAGAAATATTGGAACAGATTCAAAACCAAACATGTGCGGATGCCGAAATTTCAAATGCCAATATTGCCAAAATAAGCGCGGAACTAGAAGAAGCTCGAGCAGCTGAAATAGCAAAATCAGCTTTAGTTAAAGATTTAGAGGAAATGCTGAAAGCAAAAAATAATAATGTATTAGAGTTAGAACGAACGTTGATGAATTCAAACGAAGAACTTGAAAAAATTAAAGAATCTGAGTCAATACATATGGAAATGGTAGCAAGTCTGGAAAGTAAACTTCTGGAAGTTGAAGCACAACGCGAAGAGGGAATGCTCAAACTCAAAGAAGCAAACGAAGAAATTATTTTGATTCAGAAACAATATATGGACTTGCAAAAGCAGGTTGAGGATTCTCAGTCTCAATTAGAGATGCAACGTGAGCAAAAGAATATTGATGATTTGTTGACCAATCAATTAAAAGAAGCCCAGAGTCAAGCAAAAGGACATTTAAAACAAATTGGAATGCTTGAAGAAAAGGTTCAACAGCTTGAAATTGAAAAGAAACAAGAAAGCGAACATTATACAAATGCAACTGATGAATTAGCTCAACTTAAGAAAGAATTTGAGTCATTGGCCGAAGAATTTGCAGATGCTGCCAGTAAATTTGAAAATGCCGATGAATTATCTAAACAACAAAAAGTTCGTATTGAAAGCTTGGAATCTTCCCTAAATGAAGCAAAAAAATTACACAGAATAACACCCACTATTCAATTAAACGGTTCAACTGAAATAACTGAATCTTCCAAATCATTTGATACTAATTCTGCGATAAATACACTTACAAGTGCAAATGATGAACTCATGGCAAGGATTGTTGAATTGGAAGCTCGTGCAGGTACATTAACCGACCAAAATAAAAACTTGCAAAATGAGCTTTCATATTTCACCGCAAATGATATGCGAGTTTTCGAAGATATGAAACAAAAGATCATTGAATTTGAAGCAGTTAAAAAAGAATTAAAAGAACTAGAAGAAATAAATGAAACCTTTTTTGAAGAATGTAAGGTATTGGAAGCCAAAGTTCAGTCCTTAATGAAACAATTATGGTCTCTTACAAATGGTGGAAATGAAGTAGCTCTTCAGGTGGCGGAACTGAATGATCAAATTGTAAAACGTGAAAAGGAAATTTCAGACCTGAAAATTAAATCATCATCAGGTATTGTAAGAGTTTATTGGCTTTGTATACAAAATTTTTATAATCATAATAATAATGAATATATTTATAATTTATATTTAGCTAATAAAGAAATGAAGGAGGAAATCTCACGGCTTTTAAATGAAAATGAATCTCTCAAGAAAGCAATGCAAAAAGCTAATCTAGAATCCACAATTGATTCTACAAATCGTGGACAAATTCTTGATGCCAATAATGTAGATATCAAGAAGAATATTCACCATCTTTCGGATAATTTAACAAATGCTCCACCGCCTACGCCACCACCAAGTCACCCATTACCTCCAGTACCAATTTCATTATCACAACCTCCCAACAGCCCTATTTCTCGGTCAACAACTCCAAGTGTGGCGCGTCCTCGCACGCCACTTTCGCCAAAACCTGAACACGTTCATTCAGAACCTATATGCACGAATTCAGATCTTGTATTAGAGATTCAAAGGTTAAATAAAAGAATCGCAAAGATTGAAGGAGAAAATGTGCAAAATCAACAACTTGTTGAAACACTAGAATCTACTTTAAATGAAAACGAGATCAATTTGAATTTGGCCAAACAAGAATTGGCAATTATCCAAAGTCAAAAAATGGATTTGATT